GGGGGGGGGGGGGGGGAGTACAAAACACAGGAAAGCAAGCATTTTACAGGCTGTCGTTTGTACATCCTCTAATAGGCTCAAGGGCAACCTGAAAGTTAGAAGACACTACACAGTTTCTTAAGAAACAAACAGATCTCAATAAAAACCATTGGTTTACAAACAAACCCGTTGAACTCTAAAATTTTCACTTTCTTTCACTTAAAATTTATGATAAGGCAAAGAAAATGTGGGGAGTTTTCTACAGAAAGATGTGTTGAAAGAATTCAATTTATAAGTACCACCTTTCAAAAAACAAACAAAAAAAACAAACAGAAAAGCCCAACAAAACCCAGCCAGCAGGCTACAGGAATGTATATCAGTGGATCCCAACACCTGCTGAACTGCACTGTTCCTCTATTTTATGTGAGTGCACCACAGCCACACTTCCCACCAGCCTCTATGGAGTCACCATATGCACAAAATACGAAGTCCATTTCAAATGATGGACCAGCTTACCGAACAAGTGATTCAAGTCAGCAGTCTCAATGCAGGAGTCCTGCCCTAAGTTCTTAAGGAGAGTCAGTCTATTTGGGTATCTGAGGGAGCACCAGCACTACCCCACCATGCAGCATCCCAGTCAGAGCTGCGCCTCCCCAACACTGGGCCTGTGGGTCCCTCACCCGAGCACCCACACTACAGCAGCAATATAATTTCTAAAAGCAGAACAACCTCCTACCATCTATAGTTCAACAGAAAGATCCCACACTGCATTTTTCTCCTAAGAAGTCCCAGAAACTTTTGAAAGGGTTTGTGATCATGTGAGGGCTGGTATCATGATTTTCACAAGCCCTAAAAAGCACCAATGGGCCATCTCCTTAAAAGTCATCCACAGAGGCAACAGGCTGGGGGGGTACCTGCCTTCTTTTTCCAGGTAGAGTAGAACATTTTGCTGGACAGACCAGTCCAACTGCTTTACTACAGGTAGCTAAAGGCAAACATTTAATATTCTTGTCTTGAGATACTGTGTGCCAACAACAGACACAACATTTTCCTGTAGGGTAAGGTGGTGTTTCCATCTCCAACTGCAGCAGCTTGTAGCAACTTTTAGGAGACACTATTGAGCTAGCACAGTATTTTCTGCTTTAGGCATGCTATTCATACGGAAAATTGTAATTTTAGTCAGCAAAAGAACTAGAAACATGACACATCTATTCTCTTATTTGTTCTTACTAGTTTATTTATACTTTTCCTCATTTTTGTTGGCCTTGCAGAGTTAATATAACTGACAAACAGCATAGATTTTGGCACTCTCATCAACAGAATTGAGAAATTAAGATCCCATTGCAAAATTGCAATCCTGTTGATAATGCACAAGCCAGAAAGTGACCAGCTGGGGTCCACAGTTGTGACACATAAGGATCAATGTGACCTATTGAACCAGTAAATGAATCACATGGAGCTGGTGAAATAGTCCCACAGGGCCATTTCAGGAACTCCTCTGCATCCCAACACTGATCTGTCTTTGATCACCTGTGTTTACTACCCCAAAATTTGTTCCATTCAGTGTTGTCTGCTTCAAAGAGCAGCAGTAAGGAACACACATCAGTGTCGTTTGGCAGCAACATATAACAGCTTCAACATCACTATATTTTTCCCCACTTGGAGTAGTCCTGTTTTCAAAGACTTTCATCACATTATACTTCTATTTGAACTTCCTGACGCCCTCTTCATAACCTTATTATATTTGAAATTACCTTTCCACAAGGCCATATGCTTATGTGCAGGGTTGTTTCTCGTTAGCCCAACTGGCAAGCAGGTCTATGAGGGTGTACGTGTTGAACAGAAGATCTTCAGCAGGGAGGTTGGTATTCTGCAGGTTGTTCCTACTTGCTTTTGGAGATCAAGTCTCAAGCAACATCCTGATTTCCCATCTAAAGTAGAGTTTAAATCTTACTGTCCAGAGCTTCTTTACACACTAACCAAGAGAAATCATCTTTCTTGCTAATGTGTATTCAAAGGCGTACCTTTGAATAGTCCCACAGTTGGCGTTCAGCTCTCAGTTCAGAAAGCCCTGGGTTTTAAAGTCCTTGCAGTTCTGGCCACTAGCCATGCTCCTCAAAGTCCAAGCAGCTCCTCTTGGAGTCTTTCTGCAGCCCTTTGCCAGCCTGGCCACCAATGGCTTTCTGGGAACATGGAGCCATCAGACTTGGTGCCACGTGTCAGACCCAGAACTGTCACCCTTGCTTCCAAACAGTTTCACAGAATCAAGGAATAGTTTAGTTTGGAAAGGATCCCAGCAGGTCACATGGCCTGACCCCTGCTTCGTAGCATGGCTACCTCCAACACTAGGTTACTCAACCCAGCACAGGGAAAGAGATAAAACATAAAGGCAACAAATATTCAGAAAAAGTCTACTAGGCAAAGATTCCATTACAAGGAGAGCATTGTTTTTTGTGACACGTTACAGGTGTCTCCCTTGGATCGAGTGTTTCAGTCTTCTTTCCTCTCCCCACTTAAGTCACGACTCATTTCTTTGTAAAGCTGAGCCACCGTACAGGTTCTTGCACTGTTTTGCAAGCCAAGGAAAAGGTTATGCACTGCCATCACTACAGGCCATGACAAAGATCAGGACATTTTTTGTTAGGAAGCCTCTGCCTACCACCAAGCATTTCAATCAGCTTTCAATTTCTAATTAAATCCCAGCCTGCACTTCTCACACTATCAGTGTTGTATTATTCCTAATTCCTCTTCCCATTCATTGTGTCATATGCTGCCAAACTGTAACTACTTCAGACATACCAGCAATATATTTATCTAGAATCTAAAAGTCTTCTGGAAACGTATCACAAGTCCTTGTGCTATGAAGGCACACTATTTCCTCTTTCACACCAACAGGCATGGACAAGGCACAGGACTGAAAGAGCAGTTTTATAGGCAAGAAAATTATATATGGGGGAAAAAAAAATCTCATAGAAACAAAATTGGAGCACTCACATTTTAGTGACCTGCCTCTGTTTCTAGTTTCCACTGCAAGTAGTGCTTGTAATGATAATTTTTAATCATTCTTAGCAGCATGAAGATTCTACCAAACTACTGCAGAGGGGGTTTTGGTTTTTTTTAGGTAGTCTTAAAAAAAAAAAAAAAAAAAAAAAAAGGAGGAGTAAGGTTTCTTTCCTAAAGCACTTCCCTCATCAGTAGCCAGTGGCTATCACATTCCAGTGCAGGCTTCCCTGTTAAAAGACAGTCTTGTTTTCTTGTTGCCCAGGCAAGTACACCCTCCTCCACAAGCCTTTGTTCAGCTAATGGTAGACTCCCCCAGACAGGATTACTAAGCAGCATCTATATGGGTCTGTTCTCAAAGAACATTCAACTCCATTAGAGCAGAATATTCCTGTTTTGTAACTAAAAAGCCTAAACATGTCATCCATTATCTCCCACCTGCAAACCCTAAGAGACTTCCAGCTAATTTCAAAGGATTGGCTTTGTCCTGTAAAGCAGCAGTACTGTAGGCTGCATGCGCATCACTGCTTCCTTACCATTCTAAAAGCTGATGCAGATCTGAGAAACTGGAATCAGTGGATCCCTGATGCACACTCCAAAGCTGGGAGCTCTCAGGAGAAGGCTCTGCAATCCTGGA